GGGGGGGGGGGGGCGGTTGCGCGTTGTCATCGCTCAGGGGGCCCATCTCGAACTGTCAAGTCGTAGGAGTGGTGAGCTCGGCGCGGGCTGGATGTCAGAGCTTTCCTGGGCGGCGACGTCCTGGACTTTGAGCTGGTGACCCGGGCGATGGGGCGAGAAGAGGGCGAGTGGCGGAGTCGGTCCGCGGGCGCGACGCTGGCCGTGGCAAAGATGGGTGAAGCGGGGGTGAGTTGTGCCACGACGGCCCATCGGTATTGATCCACAATCGAGTATAGTCAGCCACAGCAAGATCTCGAGCTTGTCTGCCGCCGCCAAGCAAGAGCGCGACGGCGATGGCAGTGCTTGCCATGCCCACAACCGCCACCCAGAACCCGTCACGAAACGACGAGCCTGCGGCGGCGTGGGTGATAGTCGAGATCGAGTAGACGCCGAGGGCAAGAAAGAGGCCAATGCCAACTGCTGTAGCGAATAGAGCAGCAGCAGCCACAGCAGCAGCAAGGCCAAACGATCGGACATGAATGGGCATCGGCTGCTCAGGAGCGCTCGCAGCGACGAGCGACAAAGCTGAGGCAACCAAACTTGCCAGCAGACCGATCCACAAGCCAACCATTGCCGCAATACCAGCCGATACAAGAGCATGAGCATTGCCTGCAAGCGGAGTGAGATGTGGAAGGAGTTGATGCGATGGCGATGGCGATGGTGATGCCGATGATGCCGATGATGCCGATGATGCCGATGATGCCGATGATGATGCCGATGATGATGGCGATGATGATGGCAACAAATGCAAGGCAGATAAAATGGTACATGTGGGGAGAGGCGAGGTGTGTGCACAGATGACTCGTGTGCCCCAGGTGGTAGGCACGGCCCCTGCCTGTGGAGTGGTGGTGTACCACGAGTGTGAGGCGAGGGCGTAGGCATTGGCGGCCACAGCCAGGGCGAGGAGTGCCGCAGACAGCCGCAGACAGGCCACCAGAGCCGGCAAGTGTGAGCAACATGAGCGGGAGGTGAAGTGAGGTGAGTATGGGTATGGGTATGGGTATGGGTATGGCGCACCTGTGCAAACTCTCATCGGCATGACAGACGATACGGCGGGGTGATAGCGCGGACATGGAGGCGCCGTCAGGGCCAGTCTTGGCCCGCTGTAACAACTCCTCCAAAGCTACCACCACCAACTGCTAACCACATCTTGGAATCTTGGAAGACTCGTCACGTGGCGATCAAGCTGCGATCTGCAGCCTCTGCTACGACGGCTATGATCGAAGCCACTGCGCGTCGCTGCTGAGCTGAGGTGATCCCTCCCCGCCATACCTACGCACATGCCCACATGCCCCCCCCACACACACACACGCCCAACCAGTCGCCCATCATCAGCGATCCGTCATGTGGCGATCAAGCCATGAGATCAACCGAGCAGTAGCGCTCCACTTACGATCGGCCGTCGCCTTCCGCCGTCCGACCATCGCCACGACGACCACCACCACCACCACCACGGCCACCACCCGTCTACTCCTAGGTAGAGGGTCGGTCACATGTCGGGAAGGTGCGCTGTGTGCCACACGGCGCCACCTCGACATGCTACGGCTTTTATGCCCTGCTCCCATGGCCTCTGCTTCGCCTGTGTCGCCCGCTGGACCGCCGCCTGTGCTCCCTCTCCTCCGCCCTGTCCGCTGTGCAAGTCCCTTCCAGATGCCTTTGTCCTTGTGCCTGATCTTGTGCCTGAGCTCGAGCTGGATACGGCAACGATGATGATGCGGCTGGAGAGGACGAGCCCGCTGAAGGGCTCGATGCCGCTGACGCTGAGATGATCTTTGGCGTTGATGCCCTGATCCGGGCTCTGAAGCTGGTGGGCGAAGAAGTGGCGGTGGTCAAAGAGGGCGAAGAGATCGATGGGGATGAGGGGAATGTGGTTGGGCTTCTGGGAGCTCTGCTGCGAGAGGTCGGGGTAGGTGGGGTGGACGGGGATGGAGTCGGGGACGGGGATAGTGAGGTGCCGGATCTGATGGGCCTGGATCATGCCTTCTTTCTAGGCGAGATCGAGCGGCTTGTGGACGGGGCCGAGAGCGCGCTGAGCCGGCTCCGCCGACAAGGCGATGCGCGGAGCGGCCGGATGCGGTTTGGCTCGGTCTGGCAGCAGGACAACTACGAGACGCTGGGAGACATGGTCGCCGCGCTACACTCGATCCAGGCAGAGCTGCTAGAAGCCCAACCCGGAATGGATCCGAACGAGCTGCTTGCCACTCTGTACGGGTACGAAGACATGCTGGTCATGCTGCGGACAAACCCGACTGGAAGCGGCGGAAGTGGTGCCCCGCGAATGGCCGAGGCTCCGCTGTTGTCTGCCGCCGATGCTGAGTACTATGCCGGCGACGAGGACTCTTGCGACGACGCCGAGTACTACGAGTACTACGGCGATGACTTTCAGGCATGGTGACCTCGCTGCCGGCTGACTACCTCCGCTTGCCTTGCCTTCAGCTACACGCAAGGGTGACTCGCGCAGCGTGAGCAGCTGCTAGAACATGACTGACGGCTCAATCAGAACCAGCGACAGCAGCTCCAGCTCGCACCGGGCCGCCATCTCAGGCCGCATCAGCACCAAGATCAACACCAACCGACGCCAGCGTCCGCGCCGACTCTGTTCCACTCATCACCGCCATCTACAGCACAACCTCACACTCAATCACACAACAAGAATCAACGTGATAAGAGCCTTGCCTCTTCCCCCATACGCATCCCCATCATCACACTCCCAAACGCCGACCACTGCAGCCGGCAGCCGGCCGCCGACCGCCGACCGCCGACCGCCGACCGCCGACTTTGCGCGCCAGGCCATGACACCACCAAGGACGACCACACCACGACGACGACAGGCCAAAGCGGGGACAAGCCGACGACACTCCACCCCACCACCACCACCACCACCACCACCACCACCACCACCACCACCACCAACACCAACACCACACATAGACATAGACATAGACACATAGCTACATCCCTCTGGATATGGACGGAAGTCACCGGAGCTCAAGAAGCTCTCCTCCGGGAAGAAGGTCGGGAACTCTCGTCGTGTGCCAAAGAAGAAGGTGGTAGTCCGAAAGCGGACCAAACGGAGGCTGGCTAGCACAACAAGCACCACATCGGCCACTCGCAACCAGAGCCAAAGCCAGAGCCAAAGCCAACGTCAAAGTCAAAGTCAAAGTCAAAGCCAGAGCCAGAGTCGGAATCGGACGCGTACTTTGCCTCATCGATCGAGTGGAACTGCTGCTGCCGTATCATCGGCAGCTATCGGTCGAACTGGTGGTCATGTCCGTCCGTCATCGTCATCGTCATCTGCTGCTGCTGCTGGTGGAGGTGGTGCTGCTGCTGGTCCTGCTGCTGCTGCTGGTCCTGCCAATGAGCCGTCCTCCAGCGCTGACAACATCCGTGTTGTTGTCCGCATCCGGCCGTATCTGACGTCCGAGGCCGGCGAGGAGACTCAGTGGCTGTTTGAGTCGGACATGTGCATTGCTGAGGCACATGGGCGGCGGTATGGGTTTGAGCGTGTCTTTACTCCGTCCGACTCAACCAAGACGGTGTACGAGGCTGTGGCGCGGCCGATCGTGAGCTCTGTCCTCCGCGGCTTCAATGGAACGCTCTTTGCCTACGGCCAGACTGCGTCGGGCAAGACGTACACCATGATGGGCGAGAGCCAAAATCCAGGCATCCTTCCACGGGCGGTCCAGGAGGTTTTCGCCGCCATTGCCGCCTCGCGCGACACCCTCTTTCTTCTCCGCGTCTCCTACCTCGAGATCTACAACGAGGAGGTCAACGACCTGCTGCGCCTCGATGGACGCGACCTGGCCATCCGCGAGGTCGACTCGGCCTTTGTCGTGCCCGAAGCCTCCGAGATCATTGTCAAGTCGGGCGAAGACGTAATGGAGCTTGTCCGCCAGGGCGAGGCCAACCGGGCGGTCGGCAAGTCAAACCTCAACGAGCACTCCTCACGCTCGCACACCATCTTCCGCATGATCATCGAGTCGACTGCTGCCGGCGGCGACGCGACGCCCAAGACCGAGCCGCCACGCGGAGCGCGGGCTACCCCCTCGCGGCTTGGCCGGTCATCGTCGTCGGCGAGCATGCTGCAAGGAGACGCTGTCAACATCTCCGAGCTCAACCTGGTCGATCTCGCGGGCTCGGAGACTCTGACTGAGCGCTTCGGCTCGCGCCAACAGCGCGAGACCAAGTCAATCAACCTCTCGCTCACCCAGCTCAAGTCGGTCATCCAGGCACTTTCCAAGGGCGAAGCCTTTGTGCCGTACCGCAACTCGTCGCTAACCAAGATTCTGCGGACCTCACTCGGCGGCAATGCCCGGACGGCGGTCATCTGCACCGGCTCGCCGGCGTCGGCCCACCACAAGCAGACCAAGATGACGCTTCTGTTTGGCACAATGGCCAAGCGCATTGTCAACTCGGCGCGGATCAACCTCACCTACGACGACGACAAGGCCATGATCAAGCAGTACCGCGCACAAATTGCCGCGCTCTCCAAGAAGCTTGCCGCCTTTGACTCGGTCCAGGCCCAAAAGGCGCGCCTCCAGGAGGCCTACCGTAAGCTTGAGCGCGAGGTGATGCAGCTCCGCGACGGCGAGCGCGAACGGCAGTCGCTCACCGACCAGCTCGGCGAGATGAACTTGGTCTCGTCGTCGACGCTAGCGCACGCTGCTCCCGGCGGCGACCCGTCGGACATTTCCGACGCCCAGCTGCAATCGCTCATGGACCAGCTGACCGGCCTACAGGAGGCCAACTCCAAGCTGGCGGCCTCGCTTGCCGAAGTTAAGGCGACCAACGAGGTCAACACCCGCGCGCTCACCGCTGCTCAGGCCAAGCTCAAGTCGCTGCTCGGCTCGGGTATGGACCACGACGCGCTCTTGCTCTGGCTCGGCGAGCTCATCGAGTCGTACGAGCACCAGATCGCCGAGCTCCGTAACTCGAACCAGGAACTGCTCTCGCTCAAGGTGGCCCACGAGATGGAGGCGCAGGACCAGCTTGCGCTTGCCAAGCGCCAGCTCAAGCGCGCCCGCGCCGAGACCGCCGCCGCCGTCGAAGCCCGCTTTGCTGCCGAGCAGGCCCTCGTCACCGAGCGGACCTACTTTCACGCCAAGCTTGCCGAGCTTGGCATCGCGCTGCCGCCCATACCCTCAGCCTCGGCAGCTTCGGCCTCGTCCAAGTCAGGCGGTCGGCGGCCGCGCCACGACTCGGGCGCGTCGTCATCATCGTCGATCAATGCGTGAGCCTCACCCCAAGCTGCTTTTATCGCTCGCGCACGTTCATCGGAAGTCCGTTGGCCATGGCGAGCGTGATTTGGGTCGCCGGTCGGACGTCGGCGCCCGGGGCAACGTCCAGCACAAACCGCTGGAGCAAGTGGACACTGCACGCCATAATCTCCTGGTACGCCATGCGCTCGCCGAGGCACGACCGCTTCCCGGCGTTAAAGGCAATGAACTTGTACGCCGACGGCGGCTCGAAATCCGGTTCGAGCCACCTCTGTGGCCGAAAGCTCGCTGCGTCCGGCCCCCACAGCGCCGGCAGCCGGCCCATGACGTACGGCATGTACACGATCCACACGCCCGGCGCCACTGCCGCACCCGAGCCCGGTAGGACGTCGGCCGAGACCGAGACCTTGAGGTCGCGCGGGACCGAAGGATACAGCCGCAGCGTCTCCTTGACCGCGGCGTGGAGGAGCGGCAGCCGCGGTATGTCGCCATACGCCATGTCGGCCCCATCGAGCACCTCGTCGATCTCGGCCACAACCTCGTCCCGCACCTGAGGATGCATGGCGAGGAGGTAGAAGAGCCATGAGAGCGCAGCACCGGTCGTGTCTCGGCCGGCAATGATAAAGTTGACGACAAGATCTCGCAGAAAGAGAAGCTCCTCCTCGCGCCCGGCCTCGTCGTCAGGCCCGTGCCTCAGCGAGTCCGGCCGGAGCGACGAAGCCTTGAACAGCTCAATGATCGACGCGCCTTGCTGTCCATCCGCAGGCGGATCATCAGAATCGAGAACCGCCGTCCGGATGTAGTCATCAAGGACAGCGAGCTCTCGCCGCATCCGATTCTCGATCGGCGAAAGGCCAAGGTCACGCCAGAGCCACCAGAGCGGGGTGAAGCCGCGCATGAGGCAGCCCCACTGGAGGTAGTCAAAGGCGCGCGCAAACGGAACATCACGGTTCTCGAGCGAGCCGATGTCCTTGGAAAAGGCGATGACGCCAGCAGAATCGAGAGTGTACCGGTAGAAGACATCATGCATGTCGATGACTGCATGATGACCAGTAGCAGCTGTAGCGTCAAGCAAGCGGGCAACCTTGCGGGCGTGAGCAAGGAAGACCGGGACCATGGTCTCCTTAAAGTTGCGGACATGAAAGAGATGCGATGCAATTTTCCGCTGACGATACCAGGCCTTTCCATCCGAGTTGAAGATGCCACCACCCAGGAGCTCATTGACGAGAGCACCAAAGGTCTCGCCCTTGACGTAGTTATCAAAGTTATCACGAAGGACATGCTTGACATCATCTGGATGAGTAATGCCAACAAATCGCAGTTGCATGGGAAGAACCACAGTCCACGTCCAGCCAAACGAGAGCGAGCAATCGGTCATCCATTCATACAATCGTGACAAGTTGGCCAAGACAATGATGAGATTGATGAGCGGAAGGTCTGCCCAACCTGGAAGCCACCGACGTGATGGCCACCACCAGACCATAGGCAAGACGGTAGTAGCCAAGACAGGAACAAGAACCAGCCACAAGAGCCACACACTGATTCCTGTCCAACTCTCCCACCACTGCCTTGTCATCTCACTCCATTCCGACATACCCATGCCGCTGGTTCGGAGACAGAGAGTGGTGGTGCGTGAGTCCCCCCCCTTGCACGCCTGTCATCTCTGTCTTGCATCAGGTGCTCCTCGCCGCCATCGAGCTACTTTCATCTCGCCTGCCGCACGGGGGGCGAGCCAATCAGCGACACTTGTTCACCTTGCATACGGGCTACGGAGACTATTATCCATGCCGGTGGAGTCATGGCTTTCGGGGAGATACGCCCCCCCCCCCCAACTCTGTTGTGTGCAAGGTATTGAGGCCAGCAGGCTCACCTGTAGCAATGTGATGAATGTAATAAATAGTGTGAACTCCCTGCAGTCTTCAGATTGGTCGGGTAGCTCAGTCGGTAGAGCGACAGTCTAATAAGCTGTCGGTCGCGGGTTCGAGCCCCGCTCTGACCATATTTTTTTGCCTCGGCCTGAACCCTCCTCGATCGATCTCTTTCACACGTGCACACACACACACACACCATGCATGCTCCTCTTCTATGTCCCTCCCCATCATCTTCTTTCTCCACTTTACCAACATATCATCACAATCCCATTTCACCTCGGACAACCTTGAGCCGCTTGACAACCTCGCCGGCGCTTGGACGCGAGCCGGCATCGTTGGCCCAGCACGCGACGATAAGTGCGTGGAGCGGCGGGTGCTCGGCGGGAAGCCAGGAGGAAAGTCGGGCCGCCGGCCGCGGAGGATCTCGTCGATGTTGAACTGGTCGGCCGACTCGATGAGCGGCGCGGTTGTCCATAGCTCAAACATGATCATGGCAAGGGCGTAGATGTCGATGGTTGCCGAGTATCGGGCCTTGTTCCGCCTGTTTGCCCACGACGAGAGAAGCTCCGGCGGCATGTAGACCGGCGTGCCCTTGACGGTCTGGTAGACCGAGGCCACGGGCGTCCGCGACGACTTGGACGTGCCAAAATCGGAGAGCTTGCCGCGGAGCCGGCCCTCGCTCTCCTCGAGGAGGACGTTCCCGGCCTTGAGGTCGCGGTGGAGAACGCCCTTGGAGTGCATGTGTTCGAGTCCGAGAGTGATGTCCTCGACGAGGAGAACCCGGTCGCCGTAGCTCATGGCTCCCGCGTCGCCCTCGTGGTCGTTGAACCAGTCTCGGAGCGAGCCGCCCTGCATGTGCTCCATAAGAATAAAGAACGACGAGCCGTGCGAGGAAAAGCCGAGGAACTCGACGAGGTTCGGGTGCGAGAGCTTCCACATGATCTCCACCTCGCCGATGGCCTCGTCCACACGGTTCTTGCGGATCCGCATGTCCTTGATGGCCACTCGCCGCCCGTTGTACTCACCAGCGTAGACCGTGGCAAACGCCCCGCGCCCAAGCTCACGCCCAACCGTGAACGTCCCGTACTTGATCTTGAACTCGAGGTACGAGGTCTTCTTCTTCACGCCCACTCCGCCGTACTTGGACTCGATGAGCGCAGCCGCCGACGACGACTGTCCGCTTGCGCCTGCACCTCCGCTACTCGCGCTCGCGCCGACACGGCTCTTGCCAAACGTGACCTTGCGCCCGCCACCGGCCACAGAGCCTGCACTGTTGCCGCTCCCGCTCCCGCTCCCGCTGGCCCGCGACGCCTCTCGGAGCTTGGCCACGTCCGTGGCAATGACCACTCGTGAGAGCTGGCGCGGGTAGAGGATCGACGCCTTGGGCACGCTCACTTTGTACCCGAACCGCTTAAACCGTGGCGTTGTTGGGTTCTTGCCCCACTCGATGGCCTCCTCTTCGCTTCCGCTTGCTCCGCTTGTGCTCGCAGAGCTCCCGCCTCCGGCGGACGACTCGCTTGAGGCCGACTCGCTCGCGCCGTCTTCGCTCTCGCCGCTCCCGCCGTGCGCCTCAAGGAGAACCGCGAGGTCGCGGGCCCGGCGGTAGTACTCCTCGAGCTTCCACAGCTGCTCCTCGCACAGGTGCTTGACAAAGATGGAGCGGTCATGGGTCGACTTCTTGTTCTCGATCGACTGACGGATGCGCGAGATGAGCTTGTTGAGCTCGTTCTCGACCTGACCGCCGTACTCATCGACGACCCTCTGGAGGACGTGCGAAAGCTGCTTGGAGGCCTCGAGCGTCGAGTCAAAGACCCGCCGGATGCCCTGGTCAAAGGCCTCGCGGATGCGAGCGGGGACAACTTCGTAGGTCGAAGCCTTGTTCTTGCGGAGCCACGGGACCGGAATAAACTTGAACAGCCACTTGACGGCCCACGCCCGGGTTGTCGGCTGCTCGAGAAGCTTGAGCGTCGAGGCCTGGATGCCCTCGCCAAACTCGTCGAGGTCCGGCGCGTTGATCTCCGGGAACTCGATGTTCATGGCGAGGACCCGCTCGAGATCGTCCTCGTACTGGCGGAGATGCGGCTTGAGCCGCTCCTTGACCATCTGGCCGATGTTGTAGTTGATCTTCTTGGTGTTGGTCAGGATCTTGTTGATAATGTCGGCTTGGACCCGCGACGCGGCGCTCTTGAAAACCTCAGTTAGATGCTCGATGACCTCCTCGGCCTCTTCTTGCGACGCGAACGAGAGCGGCTCCGAGCCGGTAAAGATGGCGGTAAACTGGGTGACGAGGCCCTCCTTAGCGCTCGGGCCCTCGCGGAGCGTGGCAATGACCTCCTTGACCAGCCGCAGCATGTTCGCCGGGTTGTCCACAATGTGGTCCGACGCGCTCTCGATGGCGTCGAGAATGAGCCACGGCAGCCGCTTGAGCGCCAGCTCCACGGCTGACTTTTTGATGTCGACAATAGCATTGCGAATGTCGTCGTACGCCGAGGCCGAGACAATGAGGAACGACTCGAGCTGCGCGACCGACGCCGTCACGGTCCCGATCTGGTAGTTGAGGTCGAGCTTGAACGAGTCGGCAATGGCTTGGCACCGTGCGAGCGACTGCTGCAGCGAGATGACGCCGGCATTGGTGTAGCAGTGCCGGAGCATCGACTCAAGCGGCTCGTTGAGCCGCGAGCTCCGCCACACCGCGTCCACTCCCTGCCGGAACCGTGCCACGTCGTTGATCTCCAGCATCGACGGGTACACCTTTTCGTGCGACCATGTCTCGCCCCACGCAATCCGCGCAAAGTCCTTCACCCACCCCATCTCGTCCGGATCAGGCACGTACACTTCGTCGTCGCCGATAGCGCTCCCGTCTGGGTTCGACAAGTACTGCCTCGCCGTGTTGGCAAACTGCGCGTACTTGGCCGAGACCGGGAAAATGTTCTCCCGCGCAAAGGTCGACGAGCCCGAGCCAAACACAATGTTGCGCTGGATGTAGTCGCGGAGCTGCTCCTCGTCCATGTCGCCTGACGCCGTGTTCCGCTGGTCGTACTTGTTGACAAACATATAAACCTCCTGCTGGAGGTCAGCAGTCGCCTCGCGGACCATCTCGTTGATCTCCCCCTGCTGCTTCACCGCCAGCGCCGCGTAGTTGAGCACTACCGCAATGATCGACGCCTGTTTCAGCGTCCGCCGGACCACCTCGCCGAGCCCTGCCATGCCAAACTCGTTGGGACCCGGCGAGTCGATGAACGAAAGCCGCCCAAACATACCCGTCTCGGACATGACCGCAAACTGGACCTCGATGTGCGGCAGATCGTGAAGGTCCATGATGCGCGCCAGTGGATTCGCACCCTCCAATCCCAGATACTCGGCAAGCCGCACCACGTCGTTTGCCACCACCAGCGCGCTCTGGATCTCCTCAACACCACAAATCGCCGCCACACTAAACTGGATGGCGCTATCGTTCGAGTAGATGAGCTCGAGCAAGTCGTCCATCTCCTTCTTGGACGTTGCCAGCCGCGAGTCGAGTGAGCTGAGGTGTGACTTGATGGCGGCGACTGCAGCTCGCAGTGCCTCCACGCACGCCGGCGGAAAGAAGAGCCGTGGCACCTGCACGCCCTCGACATGGGTGATGATGGTCGGAATGACAGTCATTGCCGTCGCCCGAGATGGGCAAATGTCGCAGCCCACCAGCCCGGAAATCGTCGACGACTTGCCGGCCTTCATCAGCCCGACCATGCCTACGTACGTCGACGCCGTCACCACATCGCTCGACAAGTCAAGAAGTTGCGACTTCCACCGATCCTGCTGCTCCTTGATGTCTGTCGCGTCGTCGTCGCGTGCCACCGAGTCGATGAGCGAGTGCAGGTGCGAGACAATGAGTGTGCCCTCGCGCTGCCAGTGCACAGACCGCAGCTCGAGCTCGATCTCCTCCATTGCCATTCGTGCCTTGCTCAGCTTGGCCGCATGCGACTTGATCTTGAGCCCAAGCTTGGCCAGTTTGCCCTCGTTCTTTTTCTTGGATGACTCGCTCTTGCTCGACGCAATCTTGGCCAGCAGTGCAGACTTGAGGCTGGCCATCTCACTGTTCTTGCTCTCCAGCTTCTCCAGCAGCGCAGCCTTCTCCGCCCGCCGCTCCTCCAGTCGCTCTCGCCGAGTCAGCACCGCCGCCAGTGCCTCGGCGCATGGGTGCGGTGGTCCGCCCGAGCCGCTCGCCCGCCCACTCACCGCAGTCACAAACGCGCTCTCGCCTTCAGCGCCGCTCAACGGTATTTCCGCCTTGCCTTCGTCTCCGCCCTGCACCGGCTCGGCCCCGGATTGGTGGTGGGATTCGGCCTTGGTGCCCTCACCACCGCTTGCGCCGCTTGCGCCGGCCGTGCTGCTGGTGCTTGCAGAAGCCGCTGCGCTGTTGGATGCCTCGGCATCGGCTCCTCCTCCGGCTCCGGCTCCAGACCCGGCTCCGACACCAGTGCCACTCCCGGCTAGTGTCTGGTTGTAGGCCTCGATCTTGGACCCGTCGCTGGCAGCTACGCTCGTGTTTGCGCTCGCGTTCGGACCACTCATGCCAGACATGCCGATTGTGCTGCTGGTCGTGGATGCGCTGCTGCTTGCGCCTCCGCCTGCCTCGCCGTCAGCGCCACCTTCGCCCCCAGCCGCACCTCCTGCCCCCGGCCCAAATCCAGCATCAGCCCCGGTTCCAGCTCCGTCTCCGGTCCCGGTCCCTGGCCCAGTCGCTCCCGCAGCTCCCAAACCCATGTCGCCAGCAGCAGCACCTTGCCCGTCAGCGCCGACCCCGTCTGACTTGGCTGCGGCAAACGAAAACGCGGGCGTGGTCGACGCCGTGGCCGAGTTTTCGGGCCCGGCTGACGCTGCGGCCGCGGCCGTGCCGTCGCCGGATTCGCCGACGTCGGCGTCGTCGTCGTCGGGATCGGCGACATCGGTAAAGAGTCGGTTAAGGTGAGCGGTAGTGATCTTGCCAGTCACCGGATCGACGAGGATGCAGCCGTTTGTCACGCTTGCGATGTGAGCCTCGTCGAGCTGTGGCAGCTGAATGGCCTCTTCGTGGTTGTCGATGAGGGCACCGAGGCGGCGAGCCGTCGCCGGCGAGAACCGGTACCGGCTCTCGGGTGCCTTGGTGAAGGAGAGCAGGAACTCGGTGACATCCTTGATGCAGAACTGCGGGATGTACTGGGTGTAGTTCTGGAGCTTGGGCGAGAACCGCTGGAGCTGGCCAATGAACAGCAGCGCCACATCGCGCACGTCTGCCACTTCGCTCGTCAAGTGCATGTGGAGGTGGCGAAGGTGGAGCGGCTTGATGTGCTTGTTGAACGCAGCCTGGAACTGGTCGTCCTGCAGTAGCCGGACAAGCCAAGCAAGCGCGTGGCTCGCCGACTTGCCGGTCAGCTCTTCACGCATGGCCTCGCTCCACACAGTGTTGCCCGACGCAAGGATGAGTCCGAAAATGATTGGTGTTGCCGAGGACTGCACCGCCGACGCGTCCGATGTGCCAAGTGGCGAGCTGGCCTGCTGGCTCGTCCAGACAGACGCCAGCCGGTCGATCGCCTCAATACTCTGTGGATCGGCTTTGAGCCGCCGCACGGTGTGGAGGACGGCGTCAGTCGGCGTCAGCATCTGGGTCATGATCCGCAGCATCCGCTCGGTCGACACCGGCACCGGCTCGACACACACCATCAGGTTGACTTGGCTCTCCCTTCCCACCACCGACCCAAGACTTGCCTCGTCTTCGGTCATTTCAATCCGCTCAGTGGATTCGGAGGCCTTGTCAAACTTGAAGACCGCCACCGCAGTCGGGCTCCTTCGTCCCGCGCCGGCACCACCGCCTGATCGGCGCCCTGAGCTCTGCACCTGACTGGGGTAAAAGTGGTTGGCGACAAGTTCACCAAAGAGCGGGAGCGGCGTCGATCTGTCCATGAGGAAGGTTGTCATCGAAGCCGATGGATCCGTGTAGTCACCATCGCCACCACCGCCACCACCGCTCGGCCTTTCCCTGCTCGGACCCGATGCACCAGCCGAGACGGCAGCTCCCGAGCCAGCACCAGGTCCCCCGGGAAGGAGAGCAAAGACATGAACCATGACATGGTCACCTGAGACCTCTTCCTTGCCCCCTCCTTGCACATCCTTGCTGCGACTCCCCTTGTCGCCCTTCTCACCCTTCTCGCCCTTCTCGCCCTTCTTGCTCCCCTGGACCTCTTGCTTCTTCCGGCTCGGCACCTTCGGTCGCTCTCCGCTCGCCGACCCAGTCTTAGCTCGTAACCCACTCGCCGCCGATGACGACCCCAGCATGCTACTGTCAAGTGTGGTGGGGAGGAATGGAAGAGAGAGAGGTGGAGAAAATGAAGACTCGTGTGGCTATGCCTGCCATGCTCAGGTCTCTGCCGTTGTTGCATCCATTGTCCGGTCACGTGCCTCACTCTCAGCAAACTTGTCGTGGCACATGTCAGTTTGCCATTTGGTGACAAATCAGATTCGAGTTCCGTGAGCAAGATCAAAGGGGAGAGGAGAGGGGGGGTATGGGATGAGGTATGAAGAAGAGCAATGGGGTGGTGAGGGATGAGATCGGGACGTGAAGAAGAGGAGGGTGTTGGCAAAGGCAAAAAAAATGTGGTCAGAGCGGGGCTCGAACCCGCGACCGACAGCTTATTAGACTGTCGCTCTACCGACTGAGCTACCCGACCAATCAGTTGTAGAAAAATATGGTCAGAGCGGGGCTCGAACCCGCGACCGACAGCTTATTAGACTGTCGCTCTACCGACTGAGCTACCCGACCATTTCTGACAGCAGCGGCCGGACCACCATACTTGATGTGTTTACTGCATTGCCCAAGTGCGTCTCAACGTCGTCCCGCCTAGAAACTGCATGCGGTGGCTGTGAAAGGGCATAGGACTTGCAGCGTGTAGTACAGAGCGAGACATCGATGCTGGGCTGTAGTAGATGAAAAGCCGTGGTGGGAACACCCTGATTAGCGATGGAACGAGGCGATCAGACCGTGTCTGCAAGCATCGCGATGGCAGACACAAGACATTAGTTGTAGTAGTGATAGAGGCCTGCATGCCTGACGTCTAGCCGGTAAAGACGGTAGACAGGTGTCCATGTTGCGCGTGAGCTATGTGGATGTGGCGGACTCGTCGCAGTCTCCCGATAATGAAATAACAAAAAGTCATTCAAAGGCGAAGCACAAGCGATTGATACAGTTGGGAGATGGATGGACAGCGTGGACGGGTTGTATAGATGACAACAAGCATCTTGACGAGTGTGGAAGGCATTTTGTTGTGCGTGCCGTGTATGTGTGATGTTAAAAGCGTGAGACGAGAACGACAGGAAAATGCTTGATCACTGATGTGTCTTGCTGCCATCAACCACGCACAACAGCATCGACATCAAGTATTTGACCAATAGGCACCAGGAAGGCAAGGAGTACTCACACTGCACGTGTATAGTTGTATTCAACATACACCAGATGTCTCCGATCAGTAGCTTTCTCCGTCGCTCCACCCTGTATGTTGGCTTTGTATCCAGCTCTCAAATCACGGACACGCTCTCCGCCTGCTCCCTCCATGCTACCGATCACGCCACTATGGTTCTCCCCCCTCCACACCACCACAACTGCTTGCCTTCTACCACTACAGCACTACGTCTGGCCGTTGCCTTCAATCCTGCTTGGTCTCCTCGACCTTTCTCTCGGACCCAAACGACCGCATGAGACGCTGCGAGTACTGCACAAAGGCAACGGTGTTGAAGAGCGCCATAAAGCCAACAGCAAAGACGATAACCGAGAAGATCTGGAACTTGGGCATGAGCGAGATGACGGTCCAGTGGACGTAGACCACGTAGCCTGTTGCCACCGTTGCTCCGAACCGGCACGGGATCCAGAGGAGGAGAATGAAGGCAGTAAACAGTTTGTGGCCGATGGACCGCTCCTTTCGCGCATTGGTGTAGTACGTCAGGATGTTGCCGACAACAGTTGGGATGTGGTAGAGGTACGTGACGGCACCGATGCCGACAAAGGTGCCGGTGAAGAGGACCGGGCCGTAGGTCGAGAGGGCCACCACGTGATGGGCAAAGAAGATGATGTCAAACTCGCCCTTGTAGTAGACCATCCAAAACATGTCATAGCAGTAGTAGCCGACGTCGACAGAGAGGAGAAGGACCATGTACCACGAGGTGGTAGTCACAGGATCGACGAGGATCTCGGGCGATGCGTAGACCATGATCCACAGCGCGAGATATGGAGCTGTGAGCGAATGGATGCACGAGCGCAGCTCCCAGTGCATACCATACAACGCATCCTGGTCAAGGATACTAAGGGCTTTGAACCGAGGCTTGATCTTCCTTGCCGCGTCCTTCTCCAAATCCCCACTCCGCCATGGGATCCCGGTCACGGCCTTGATCAACCACGCAATGACGGCATAGACGACAAAGCCCGCCACGGTTCCAACCAAACCAAACTCAAGTTCATGTCCAGGCCAAGGGTGTGCATCACGGTTACGAACAAACTCCATGCCAATTCTCAAATACTTATGTTACCTCTCGCTCTTCCCTGCCTGCTCCAACCTGTCCGGCTCCTCCACTCTCTCCTACCGCTCGTCCAAGTGACGTGTCCGTGGCAACCGACGACGACGACGACGATGCTCGCTCCATTGCTCGCTCATTTTTGGCACTCTTTCCCTCGCAATCAATGGCTTGCTTTCTGTCTGGGATCCATCACTTTAGATGACAAGCATCTGTAACCAATGAATGTGATGGTTATCGTATTTATGTCCCTCACAATCATTGCCTGTTCATTGTCTCCATCGGTCAATGGCTGCTGATGCGTCTCCCGCGCTGCTTTTTGTTGCTTGATTGGCTCCTTGTTATTTGGAGTTGATGATGTGGATGATTGATTTGATGACCATGCAGCCACGCACGCATGCACGCACACACGCATCCACATACACATGACCAGCTTTGTCTACACATGTTCACGGTAATCTTGTCTGTCGTCCATGCAGGCGTTAGATACACCCCAATCGATGATTGAGAGGACCCGATCCTGACACGCGTCGTCCCGCGTCGTCGAGCAGTGCGTCGCCCTTGAATGAAGCTTGTGTGCGAGACTGCTTGCGCAGCCGTCGTATTGCTCAAGCATGTTTTGTCTGGCGATTCTATCCTTTCTACCTCCCCCCCCCCTCCCCCTCCCCCTCCCCATCGCGGTCTGTCGCATCTGCGACGTTACCGTGCCATCCGCGGTCAAAGGAAAAATGGAGTCCAGCGTTCGCCAAGCACCACAAAACTGGCGACGATTTCGGCCGCCGCAAGCACACACCACAACCGCACACTCAAAAGACATGAACAACATGAACAAGATGAACAACAACAACAAGATCACCGACAACAAGTCGTCCACACTTTCGCCTGCCTTTGCTGCCAAGATCGCGGCTGCAGGCCCGGCCAAGCTCTCCAAGATGCTGGCCAACACGTCCAAGCGCCTTAACAAGGCTCTCGATGCCGATGCCCCGCCCAAGCGCATCGCCCGCATCGAGGAGCAGCTCGAGGCCATCCAGGCCGCCCTTGATGCCCACGCCACCGAGGCCACATCTCTCGAGGCTCCGGTCGCTAACGCTCCGCCCAAGATCCTCGCCCGCATCCCGACCCTCGCCACGCCGCGCCTTCTGGCGATGCTCGCCAAGAAGTCAGCGGCCCATGACAAGGCCGTGGCTAAGGGCAAGACTGGCAAGATCGCTCGTCTCTCTGGCATCATTGCCGCCATTGAGACCGAGCTTGCCATTCGTGACGGGTCGATGCCGCTCTCGTCGTCGTCGTCGTCGTCGTCGGACTCTGGCTCGGCCTCGATGAACATGTCGGCCAGCGCCTCGGCCTCGGCCTCGGCCTCAACCTCGACTGACCTTGATGCTGAGGACGCCAACGATTGTGACGAGACCAACCCGATGGCTTGGATTGTCCACGTGCCCATGCATGTTCTCTTCCGCGTCAAGTCGCGGAAGGCTGCCAAGGCCGCCGCCCTCGCTGCTGCCGGCGACGCCGAACGCGCCTCTGCCATCCAGGCTCACGTCGACGCCGTCGACGCCGAGATCGCCGAGCGCAAGGCGTCGGGTGTCGGCCCGCGCAACGTCGCTGCCAAGGCTGCTGCCCTCCTCGACGCCGGCGAGCCCGTGCCGGAGGCCATCCTCCGCCGTCTCATCGCCGTCTCATCGGCGCGCGGCCGCAAGTGCGGCAAGTTTGGCAAGGGTCGCAAGTTTGGCCATCGCCACGGCCGCGGCCCGCGCTTCGGCAAGCATGCCCATCGCCACGGCCCGCCGCATCACGCGCACCACCACGGCCCGCCGCACCACGCGCATCGCCACGGTCGCGGTCCCCGCTTCGGTAAGCATGTCCATCACCACGTCACCGTGCAGTTCCTCCCCGGCGAGTCCGAGTGAGGCATCACTGTCCACGGCGCGTTTCCGAGACATTGCTCCTGCCGCACCTCTTTATTACCATTGACCACATTTGTCAAGAATAACAACCATTAGTTTTCCAACTCGCCACTCCTGCCCAACACACGCCATTCTCTCTCCCCCATCTCCCCCACTGCCTCGGCCTCTCATCAATCACAATAGCGCTGAATGCTCAGAAGTCTTCATCACTTGCGTCATCGGACCCGCTGTCGCCTCTCTGATCAACAACCTCGTAGTCCTCAGCCATGAGCTCGAGCCAGATCTCGTACTCATCAACAGCCTCGGTGCCAAACACGTACTCGCGCTCGGCAGTGGCAATGGCAAAGACATGCCGCCCATCGCGCTGCCGCCCGCGCGCATACACGGCTTGGACTGCGATCTCGTCAAACGAGACCACTCCGCGGCGCTTGCCTCCGCGCCTCGGCTTGTTCGTCCAGCAGTGAATGCCGTCGTCATATAGCTCACACCAAAACTTGTCCCACCGCGTCCCGCTCTTCGACTGCTTGTACAGCCATGCCTTGTACAAATCGAGCGAGGCGTTTGTCAGCGACGCGAGCGTGTCAGTCCGCGTCATCTGATGTGTCGGCGCACGCTTGGACCGTCCACTATCACTTGCTGCCACTGCCGCCACCGCTGCCGCCGGAGGCGGCGCGCCGATCGGCGCCAGCCGTCGCGGAGGCGCCGGCGAACGCGATCCTGACCGCCCTCCGCCCGCCACCGTGCCCAGTGCAGACGGTGACCGCGACGGAGTGCGCGACGGGGTGCGCGACGGCGTACGACCTCCGCTACCTCCGCTGCCATGTGGAATCGGCGGCGGAAGCTTGGACGTCCACGGCTTGGGCTTGGGCAGCTTGGCTGGATCTGGCAGCCTCGGTCCGTCATCCCACCTGCTGGGTGGCGGCGGACCATCGTGCTCTCTGCTTTGCTTCTTGGTCTTGGCTTTGGCCTTCTTCTTGCTCTTGTCTTTTTCTTGGGACGGTCGCGGCCGCTCACGGTCGCCGCTCCTACCAGCGTCACTCCGGCCGCCACTCCGGCCGCTACTCCGGCCGCTGCTTCGACCACCGCTCCGTCGGCTGCGGTCAATAATGGCTCCACACGGACACTGAACCTGACTCGCACCGGCAGGGAACTGGATAACCCCACCACACGTCCTACATGGTGCCTGCTTCAGCTCGCCACCACGTCTACGCCTGCCTCCACCCTGCCCACTACCGTGCGGCGGCTCCTGTCGCCCACTGTTGCTGGCTCGGCTCCGGCTCCGGCCTCCCTGCCCACCGCCACCATGCCTCCGCGAGGGAGCCTGACGATGCTGCTGCTGCGGATACTGTTGCCCGCCGTTCCCGTAGTAACCATGTCCGCGCGGTCCGCGCGGCCCAGCAGCCATGCCATACCTACTCGGCGCCTGATTGGCGTGGATCGAGTTGTTGTACGCCCCCGCCTGTGGCTTACGGCTCAGCTCCAGCACCTGCCCACACGGACATGACACAAGTGGAGCGTGCTCGGGGCAGTTGAGCACACCACGGCAGGCCGGACACCGCACCTGTACGCTCCGCTGACGCCGTCTACCGAGCAGACCCATTCTCACAACGACTCGAGATCAAGTCCAACAAGATAACGACAATCGAGCAGATCAAAGAGACCGAGAGACCGAGAGACCGAGAGAGAGAGAGAGAGAGAGTACGTCGAGATTGCCTGGATCTGAGCGCGTATCAGATGACTCGCACCAAGTACCTCGATCGATCGATTGGTCTGTCTGTCTGTCTGTCAAGGACACGAGCTGATCACTCAAGTTGATGATGATGATGATGATGATTATTTGGAGGAGAGTTCTCACGCTTTCTCCCACTCAAATGCCTTGTCTCGTTGGATGTGATGTGATCGTTGTCTTGCCACTGTCAGCACCAGCTCTGTCGCCACTGTCAGCACCAGCTCTGTCGTCGTCAGCAGCCAAGCGGCACGCGCGAGCAGCCCACTTTCAGCCGAGTGGTACCTGGGCAACTCTTACCAGCTCTAACCGGTCCTTGTCACCACCTCCAACTCTTGCAAGTAGAGGGCAGTATGAACCTCTCACTATACTCTTGGTCCTCGCCCCCTTTTCCCGTCTCGTGGGGGGGTTTTCCCCCTAAAAACCCCCCCCCCCCCCCCCCCCCCCCCTCCTCCTCTCCCCGCAGCGAACTCGATCGGAACCGGCGATGGACGACGGATGGTTGGCCGGTGATGGGGCGGCGTGGTACACGGTGGATAAGGATAAGGGGGATGGGGATGGGGATGGTAAAAAGGTGTTATAGTGGGGTTTGTGGTGGTTGTGGTGGTGATGGTGGTGGTGGTGGAGGGGGGGGGGGGAGGTGGATCAGATCAAGCTGGTGGGCTGGTGGAGGACGCGTGTGTGTGTGTGTGTGTGTGTGTGTGTGTGTGGGATGCAATACAGATCATGGGTGGTGGTAGTGAGGGTTGGCATCGTTTACCCACAAGATTCACATGCCGGGCATGCCGTTGCTGCCGCCACCACCGACGGGACCGTCCTCGACAGCCGTGCCCGGGAACCACTTGTCGAGCAACTGTTTGGCTTGGTCGCGCATAGCCGGATTGGCCGACTTGGCATGGCGCTGGAGTAGCGACTGCATGGCCGGTTCGGGCTCACCGCCCACGGCCTCGACCATCTGGGCCATGCGGCGCACCCCGTCGCCGGACCCGACGCCGAAATAGCCGTCGAGCACGGTCCGGATCCACGCCTGGTTGACCTCGCCGGCACTGGCAACCAGGCCGTCGAGCACTTCTGCGGCAGCGTCGACATTCGCCGACTTGACATGAGCCTGAACCAGCGGCGAGATGGGCAGCGGTGAGATGTTGGCCTGCTGGAGACGATCGACCAGGGCCTGCATCTCCCCCAGACGGCCGGCCTCCCCCATGGACTTCATCAACGGCTCCAGGCTCTTTCCAGACAGCTCGTTCGCCGGGAAAGCAGCCAGAAGACCATCAGCATACTCTTTTGCCTTGTCAAGATCAAAGTTTGCCAAATGAGCAGCCATCATGGCTTCCCACGCCTTTGTGGGTGGAGTCTGACCATCCGCTTGCAGCGCCTCAAACAGAGCCACAGCACCGGCCACATCGCCCTTCTTCCCAGCATTCCGCAGCCGCTTCAAGGTGGTGATACTCCGAGAGAAGACCATCATCCCGCCCATGACCTTCCATCCATGCCGTCCATGCCGTCCATTCCCTCCATCATGCCGCATCGCTCCTCCACCTGTCCGACCGCCACTTCCAGTCGAACTGGCGAGACAGGCCAGACTTGCCCGACTCGCCCGACTCGCCACCTTGCCCTGACTCGCTTGCTGCACCAGTGCCACCCCCATGGTCCTGGTACACATGGTAATCATCCGAAGCATGTTGAAGTTGGGTCTGTCTCCCTGTCTACTGCTCCTGCCCGTCTCCTCGTTGTCGTCCATATTGACTCGCCGTGTCGCTGTCGCTCGGCTGCCACAGTGACGCGCACCGAGACGTCATCAGCCTCTGCTCCCCCCCCCCCCCCCCCCCCCCACCCCAGCGGCAGCCATGGCACATATCGGCCATCTACCGACACAGATCCACCTCTTCCGCACTATCCTCGCCACACTTTTTCGTTCGGTCTACCTTCCACAACCTGAGCCACACTTCTCTCTCTCGTCTTGCTATGGACATCGCCACCATCGCTGCCGCACGCGATCTGCTACTCGCCGCCCTTCCAACTCACAATCTCCCAGCGATGGTTCCTCTCACCGATGCGTGCGCCATTGTCACCACTGCTGCCGACATCGCCACCTTTGCCGTCACCGCTCTCCTTGATGGCCAGGCGTCTGCAAGCAACACTGCAGCAGCGTTCAAGTCCTCCTCCATTGACTTTGCCACCGAGACAGATCTGTCTATTGAGCGCATGGCCTTTGACACCATCGCCGCCCGCTTCCCGCACCATCATCGCATCGGCGAAGAGTCCGCACCGTCGTCGACCTCGGCTGCGTCCGGCGACACCTTCTTCGGCCCATCTGCCATCACTTGGGTCATCGATCCGGTCGATGGGACAACCAACTACACTCACGGCTTTCCCTTTGTCTGCATCTCCATCGCCGTCGTGGTAGCTGGCGAGCCGCTCGTGGGCCTTGTTGCGGCACCCTTTCTCCGCGACGGCCTCTACTTTGCCTGGCTCGGTCTGGGCATGCTCCATGGCTCGACATGGCTCGTCCCGCTTGCTGACCGCCCCACCCCACCGCCTACCACCATTGCTCAAGCTCTCATTGCCACAGGCTACTCGTACGACCGCTCGCATACAGCTCTTGCCGCACAGCACGCTGCAGAGACCGCTCTCGCAGGCGACCCAGATCCCTGCCGCGGCATCCGCAACATCGGCTGCGCAGTCATGGCCATGACTCTCGTTGCCACGGGCGCTCTTGATGCCTACTTTATTCATGGTCTGCACATCTGGGACATGGCCGCTGCCGTTGTCTTTCTCCGCCAACTCGGCGCTGTCCTCTACTCCACCGATGGCTCGGCGTTTGATCTCTGCGCACGCAACTGCCTCGTCGCTGCCACGGATGACCTCGCTGCTGCCATTCTCCCTTGCCTCACTCCGCTTGACGTTCCGCGTGAGATCCTCTGACATCTATTTCTGCCGCTCACTGCGCAAGCGCGGCTGCAAGCGCTACCACAGCCGGAGCGCTTGTCGCTTCTTGCGCTTTCGCCACAGCCTGCGCGGCAATTACAGCTCGTGCTGTCTCGCCAGCGTGGTTCTCGTCTGCGCTTGCTGCCGGCATCCAGATCGTGCCTGCCACCAGGCTCGCGGCCTGTCCGAGACCGGCCGCGGCTGCACGGAGACCAAGCGTCACCCGCTCCGCCGTCCCAAGCTCGGCCTCCTCCTTCAGCTCTGCTCGGCGAGGCACTGGCTCGGCGAGCGCAGCAGCAAAGACCTCCACCATCCGCCCGTGGTCGCTGCCACTGCCAAGCTCCTCGGCGAGCGCTGCTTGTGCCTCCTCCACAAACGCCGCCACCGCGTTGGCATCGCCTTTGCTCCTGTCCCCGCTGATCACGCTGCTGTCTTCCTGAAGCAAAAGCGCGACCACGTCGGCAACGTCCACCAGTGGCGTCTCAGCTTGAGCCACATACGCCCAAACCAGTCGCAGCAACTGCGCCTGTCGCACCGTCACCTCCCACTCGTTGCCATCGTCCGCAGCCGCGACATCCGTGGCACTAGCCGCCGCAATCACTGCCGCCAGCGTCGCTTCGTCGAGTGGGCACGCAATCGTCTGAAGTTCAAGCTTCAGTCGCACCGCCGCCAACTCTTCCGAATGCGCCACAAAGTTGCTAACGACGACGGCGAGGAGCTCGACCTGTGCCACCGTGGCCACGTGCTCGTTGCCGATCGCCACAGCTTCGGCCTCGCTCGCTCGCCACGCCGCGTGGATACGTCGGACGAGCGCCGCCTCGAAATCACTCGCTACCACGTGCTCGTCGTCGCCCGTCTCGTCGTTGCCACCAAGGAACTCGTGCTCGTCGCTCGAGTCCGACTCGTCAAAGAAGGCCCCGCGCCGTGGGCTTCCGTCGTGGAAGCAGAGCAATGTGCTGAGTCCGTCCTCGGCCCGGTGTTCGCGGTAGTACCGCCGAATCTGAGCCGGTGTCCGGGTCGGGATGAGCGACGAGAGCATGTACCAGTCCTTGCCGAGGAGCGGAAAGTACCGCACAAATGCCGCCTGCTCGTGAGGGCTCCATATGCTTGGTAAGACCGGCAGTGCCATCGGCGTGTCGATGTGCGCCGGCAGCCGCCGCGGCACCGGCTCTTCCTCGCTCTCTTCATCGGACCGTGTGCCACTCACAGTCCCATCTGTCGCCGTCGCGTACTTGCGGACAAAGGTGAGCTCCTGAGCCACTCCACGCTCCCATCTCCCGCGGAACAGCGAGCTGCCGTCGTAGTACATGCCGATCCCGTCCCGCCGACCGCGGTTCCATCCTCCGACATACACCCGCCCGTCCGGCCACCGATACGAGCCCTGGCCCTCGCGCTTCCCGTTCCGCCACTCACCCTCGTAAACTCCACCGCCCGGCGGTGCATACACGCCAAACCCCTCGCGCCGCCCGGCTGCGTTGCGCTCACCGTCATAGTAGGCCTCGGCCTGCGATGGCGACGACACCATCGACACCTCATCGGTCACTGACCGGGCCGGAGATCGGCCCTCAGCTTCCGCGGCAGCAGTCTCCAACGTCTTTTTCCGCCTCCGCCGTCTCCGCCTCCGCGGCTGTTCCTCTCGCCGCTGCTGCTGTTGCTGCTGCTGCTTCTTGCCCTCAGTCTCCGCCTCTGTCTCTTCACCAGTGATCTCGGCCGCCAGCACTCTCAGCGAGCGCGGCGACCCATCAGAGAGTGGCGAACTACGCCGACCAGACCCTGCCATCCCCACAGGTGACCGCGACACCGACCGTGACCCGACCTGCAGTACCCCGTTGTGCTCCAACCCACTCTCGGGACGAACGACAACACGAGTTCCCACCGAACGATACGGCACATACTCGAGCGTCCGACTCGACCGCCGCTCTGAGGCCCAAGTCTCTGCTTCATCTACTTCTCCATCCCATAACGACGTTGCTCTCTCCCCCCACATCCTTGCCGAGCCTGATCTCCTTCCCAAGTCTGCCATCTTGCCCTCGGCCGCGATGGCCTGAGAATCCTCCTCTTGGCCTTGCCGACCATTCTTCGGCTGCGGCGTGAGAAGCTGCTGACTATCTAAAAAGGTAGCCTTCAAGCCTTCCAATGCCTCCACTGATCCCATCGATGCCCCTCCAGACTGAGTCCCCGACCGAGTCCCCGACCGAATCCCTCTCCGACCGACCGACACACCAGACGCTCGCTCTCGCTTCCAGCCACTCGGACGCCCAGCCAGCGCCTACCATACCCCCCCCCCCCCACCCAAACCCCCCTTCTCCCCATGAGTCTCTCTCTCTCCCTCCTACCTCCATCACTCCTTCCAATCCGCTTGCCTACCATGGCCTGTCAATCAGAGTCGACTGTGCCCAGTGTCAGGCAGTCGGCCAATCGGCCAGTCGGCCTGTCGGCGTGTCCACTCCCCGCACCGCTTTGATTGGCCGCCCGCTGCAATGGTGGCCAATCGGGCCCACCCTGACCCATCAGGCTCCAATCACATTCGCAACACATTCATGTACTGTGTGATACGGCTCTAGCTAGCAGTAGTGGGGTCTGTTCTGACGCGACATCGCTGCCTCAGAAGCCTTCAATCGCGATTGTCACTCTCCTCGGCCCGGATCAGCTCGCCGCCGAGGGTGCCGGTGGCAGAAAGGCCGGCTACCCGGAGACGACGGATGTACTTGCGTGAGACAGAGGCGTTGCCGTTGATGTTGATGTCGGCAGCATGTGCGGTATAGGCCTGGAGTAGATGCCGCGCCCCGCGGTTGCTGATGGTGTTGTGCCGGAGGTTGAGGCTGGCGAGGACCGAGCCATGTGCGGCAACTAGCTTGGCGAGCTGCCGCGCCCCGGCGTTGCCGATGGCGTTGCGCGAGAGATCGAGTTCGACCAGGCCACGGTTGCCGGCAAGACCCTTGACGAGTGTATGCGCCCGGCGTCGTCCATGCCGTTGCGCGAGAGGTTGAGCGATTCGAGCGTCGAGTTGCCGCGGAGCGCCTTGGCCAGCGCTCGCATGCCCTCCTCGCCCATTGCCGAGTTGTTACCGACATCGAGCTGCCTGAGCGTTTTGGACCGCTTGATGCCGCGGGCGAGCGAGAGCGCACCGCGCGGACCAAAGCTATTTCCCCACAGCGAGAGAACCCGAAGCGCGCACCCACGCCGCCGCAGCATGGCGCCGATCGCCCGGATACCCGTGTCGTCGATCTCGTTGGCGCCGAGGAAGAGCGAGGTGAGATGCGCTCCGGCGTAGGCCAGATACGCCGCGCCCTTGTCACCGATGTAGTTGTGCGAGAGATGCACGTCTGTCACTCGCGGCACCTCCCTCTTTCCATCACTCTTCACCTCTCTTGCCACCTCTTTCGCGCCCTCATTTCCAATCCCAGCATTGGACAACATCAGCACTCCAGGCGGCATGCCTGTCCCCCATCGCTCTTCCGACCACTCCAGACCCGACGAGCTCGAACCCGATCCCGAGCCCGAACCCGAACCCGAACCCGAAGTCGATCCCGAAGTCGATGACGCTGTCGAGCGGCTTGTCCTTTCACCTTGACGACGAGACCTGCTCTTGCTCTTGCTCTTGCCCTTGCCCTTGTCCTTGCCCTGGCTGCTGGTCTCGGCTCCAAACACGGCTTCCAGCTGACGATGCAGCGAGGCTCTTGCACTGCGCTTGTCCCTCACAAGCATGTTCGGCAGGCTCTTCTATACACACAACGGCACCAAGTACACACACTCACACACACACACACCAACACACACACCAATAACTATGTGGTCAGAGTGCAGTATGTGCAGCTGGCTGGCTGGTTGGCTGGCAGGCTGACTGGCAGGCTGGCTGGCGGTCTGTCGGTCATCACCGAACAATCGACACAACTTCCGCCATTATCAGCTGCCAACGTTGCATTTATCGTTAACGCTCAACCAACAATCCCTCGCCTCTCACCACGCGACTCAAACTGCCTCGGATGGGAAGAATGAGCCATCATCAGAGACTCTGAGCACGTTTGTTCTCTTTCTCATACCTGATTATGTCTCTGATCAGTCTTGATTCATTCGCACTCACTCTCATCACCCTCATCATGGCCTTGATCATCCATGTCGCATACTTGCCCATCACAACGACTTGATCATCATCTCATCTCCCCCCCCCCCCCCCTCCCGCTCTCCCGCTCTTCCACTCTCTCGCTCTCTC